TCCCACTCGACATTACTTCTTGAGCCTCCTGCACGAACTTCTTTAATGCGTCTACAGAATTTACACTTGTCACGCAATTGTCAACGTAAAACGCTCTTTTTAGTTTTATTGCAGTTTCCTTTAAATTGGGTGGTGCGCGTTCTAGATGAAAATTTATTGTAGCTGCAAGATGGAAAGGACAAGACTTAATACCAAATACTACACGCTTATGACGATAAGCAAATATATTTTTGTTTGGGTCATTTCAGACCACCAAAGAAATTTTAAATAATCCCTGTCTTTGGGAACCAGTGAAATTTGAAGGAATGCTTTGGCTATATCAGCAGTAACTCCAATTGCTTCCTTTCTAAAATCAATTAAAATATTAGGTATTATTTCGATGAGATTTACACCTTTTTCTAAACAGCTATTAATAGATATGCCATGACTGTCTTTGGCCGATGCGTCAAAAACAGGCCTCACCTTAGTCGTCAGACTCGCTTTAATTACAGCATGGTGGGGTAAAAAGTGACCTGACATAGAATTTTGACATGGCGCCTTTTCTATAATTCCTAATTTTAGCCATTCATAGAAAACCTCATCATTTCTTTTCATTTTACCTAATGATTGAAGGCGCGTTGTAGTCGATAACAACCCCTTTTTTGCTAACTCAAAATTAGAACTAGGCCGTGGTATACCGTCTCGCCATGGTAAACAAACCTCATAACTATTCTCGTTATTAAGATGGATTGTCGACTCAAATTCATCTAATACTGCTTTCTCACGAAATTTAACAGTTTCCTGTTCACAAGGATCTCGAATCCCCAACTTTCTAAGTCCCACAGTTCTGAAATATTCATATTAGGCGAGGAGTGGAGAGTCGTACTTACAGTCGAAGCGAAGGCACCTGTAATGAGACCTTGTATTGTCCACCCCACCTTTGTACGTACTGCAGTCAAATTGTTTTCCAGCTGTATAAAATCACCAGTCATTAACATACCTGAAAAGTCCGCACCAATAAGTACAGTCACGTCATCAGGAGTAGAAGTTGTGTCAGTTAAAGTAATACCCTTTCGTTTTAATTGCTCGATCAATACATTAGATCTAACTTTAGGCAAGACTCCACAAATATATTCCTGTCCTAAAACAGAAAGATTCATACAAAAATTATCATTACACAAGCTTATCAAACATACGTTGTAAACAAAATGTTCATGTGAAGTAGTTTCAACGCCGCCGAATAAACAATTTGTAAGTTTCTCCGTATGTGATGGTGTCAATCCTAATTCTTTCGCAAAATTATTCTTGATGTACGATCTTTGAGCACCGGTATCTATGAGTGCGCGAACTACTATCTCGTTATTGTTTGAAACGAGTTTCACGACTATAGTCTGCAATAAAGTTGTAGTTTCTAATTTGCATAATAACTCTTCCGATTTCTTTATGGGTACTGAAATAGTTTCTGACTTAGTCTCTGATATTTTACTCTCTGGTAAATCTTGACACATTATAGTGACATGACAATTCTTGCAAAACAAACATTTTGGAAAATATTTGCACTTCTTAGCATTATGTGACTTTTTTAAGCAAATTAAGCATGCCTTTTTAGATTTAACAAACTCTAATCTTTCTCTCGGCGTCATTCTCGAAGCTTTATGACACTCTGTAGGTGCATGTGTATCTTTATCACACCACAAACACTGAACACATTTCACCGAAACTGAACGGTTATTGTTGGTCACATCAGAAATTAAACAAGCTGTAGGAGGTTTTGGCGATGAAGTTGACGGGACGATCCTTAATGAAAGCTGAGTAAATCCTTGACGAGCTAAATTTATTCGTTCTTCAGACTCTACTTCTTCCTTTAGAAAAATCATTAGTGAACTCAAGTCATCGTCGTCATCTCCTTCTTTTGTAATTGTTCGTCGCTCAGAACGAATACGATTCCATGATCTAAGCAAATCTTCGGGTAACGTACTTTCTATCATAGGGTACAATATAGAAGCGAACTTATCTTTGGTTACTTTTAGTGTATCTAGTGCTTGAAGATGAGTTTGTAGACTGTCGTACAATTGAGATAAACTGCATGACTCACCTTTTAACTGAGACCACACTAAACTTAACAGACCTCGAACATATGATTCTATGAGCATATCGTCACGTGCAAAACGAGCTTTCAGTGCATTTATAACCTTATCATAGTTGTCTGCACTCGGTGGATAGCTACGGACAAGTTGATGAGCAGGACTGTTTTCTGTAGTTGACTGAATTAGATATTGAAACTTGTCTATGCCGTTGATATCTTCGTCCATATGAATTTTTTGAAATTGGCTCCAAAATTGGATCCAATTACGTACATCTTCATCGAATTTGGGTAGTTCTAATAAAGGCATCTTAAGATTGTTTTTCTTAATTTCTGACCTCACAAAACGCTCATTCTCGTTAGAACATACACTAGAAATATTTTTCTCTGTGTACGACGCAATATGGCTTCTCATCTCGTACTTTGCACGTATTTCTGCCCACTTCGTTCTGTACTGCAAAGCTTTATCTTGATCATCTTGGAATGATTTTTCATCCAAAGGCTCACTTTGGTAAAATGCTTCTGATAGTTGCTCTTCAACGTTCTGTAACTTTTCTGACGCGTCTCTTACTACGATAAACGTAGTTTCTATGTTAAGAGCATGTTCCGGTACGGCGAGTGCTTCTTCGAAATTTTTCACTGTGGTTAAAAATTCACGCTGGAGTTGCGTCCTTTTGCGTTTTAAGACCTCTGTACGATATTAAGCAGGGGTTGGCGACTCACTGCAAGCAATCCTTTACCGCCACGGGTTCCGAGGGCTGGGTTCTGGAACGGGGTGCGTCGACGCGGACGACTTCGCTGAAGATATCATACACGATATATAGTCCATAGGCACTGATCCACCTTTCTTCCGAAATATCCTTATTCTCGATAACGAACAATTCACCAAGCTCAATCAAAATTAGGTGCGCGCAGTTAGCAATTTTGAATTCACAGTAAAAAAACCGTCACCCAAGGATTAAGGGTGGGGATTTGGAACGAAGACACCTAATCGCCTTGCCCATAGACAATTAAAAAATTTACCCACAGTTGTATTGTCTTTTATAGTTAATTATCAATCATCTGTTTCGTTACGGAACAACCTCCATAATTGATTTTTATTAAACGGTCGCCACTAATATCACGGAATTCGGGGAATTATGGGAGACTAAAGTAAACGCCACGGCCATTTAAACGCAACTGTTTATTGGTTACTCCTAGCAACAAAACAAAAGTACAATCTGTCACAATATGTCTATTGCAGGGGTCGGCAACCTGCGGCTCGCGAGCCACATGCGGCTCTTTGGCTGGGAAGCTGCGGCTCTTTAGTTCCGAACACAAATATTATTTATTTTATAAAAAAAAATCATTTTAAAACTTTCTGAATCGATTAACAAAGATTCGGCACCACTTCTATCTCTCAGCCACATAGTCTTTGCTTGTACCCGCTTTTCACCCGCTCAGTCTGGACGAGGCTATTGAAGTACAAATTAGTATTGTAACTGTGTAACTAAATGTTTAATTGTTTAATTTTTTTACTTAAATTATAAATAATTATTAATACCATAAATATGTTTAATTTTTTATGAAAAAACTACTCATATATGAATAAATAAATATTATTTTGTCTTATAAATAAACAGATTAAAATTACTTTATTTATGCAAGTATTATTTATTGTGATTGAATCACCATGATTAACCGAAAGTAGTTGATTCCGTGCATCGAGGGGCACGTTAAGCCGTCGGTCCTGCGCATGATCTCTCACTGGTCGTGTCGATCAACCATCCCATCGGATATAGAGAGTGGAAGAAGAGAGAGTGAACTCTAAGAATGTGAAACCTAGTTGGTCACAATAAGCAAAGTCCTGCGCAGTAAGTCGATGTCAGTGAGGGTAGGACTACATTACTTATTTATTATATAGGCATAAAAACATTTTGTGGCTCTTTAAAAACTTAAAAATGTTGTAAATTGTAACTTTTGGCTCTTTTGACTCAAAAGGTTGCCGACCCCTGGTCTATTGCAATATTTTTTAAGTATTTTTTATTATAAATAGAATTTGTGACGTTTGTGTTGTGGTGTTTTTTAGGTCAGATAAAGAGCACACTCAAGGGAGAAAACGAAATTACCGAGTAAAACACTACTTACCGAGCAATTTCTTTCATGTCTCTCTGACAACGGGACATTGGCAGAATTTAAAATGCAAATGAAATGAATGAAAGATGGCGATGATCTCCATTGTAATCATTGTCATTAATCATGTAATCAGATAGGTGCGCTCAGATCCTTTTTTTATTGTTTTTATCTATTCCCCAAAATTTAAAATTATCATATTTTATTATTGTTTTTTTACGTGTAAAGATCACAAACGTGACATTGGTGAGATTGTATAAACGCAAATAGGTCATGAATTAAAAAAAAGAGGACTTTTTGGCGGGAAGTCCAACTAGGCGGGTGTTTTAAATTTGTTTCCCAATAGGTTTTTATAGAACATTACGATATTAGTGCGTTATGATGGTTATAACATGCGAGGCGGAATTGAGCCGAGCATGTTATAACCAATACGCACGCTTATCGTACGACGTTTTTTAACACATTTGCGAGGAAACAGAAAAAAAAAACATTTTATATTTTTTTCATTTTTAATTATTAAAACAGTTAGTGAAATTACAATCATCAAAATGATACGTAGTTGTAGTTGGTTTTTTAATTATGTTATTATTATTATTACTGTAATGTAGGTAACTTAATAATAAATTTGTAACACAAAAGTGAATGTACTGAAGCGCGCATTCCAGTATAAACCGAGTTACGAATAACACTGATCACAAACGTGAATAAATGAATAACACGTGTTTCATTTACCACCGGTCACAGTAAGTTCTGGAAGAACAAATTACAAATATTATAGTGGCGACGAGGATAACAATATTTTTGTTTACTCATTTTACCTGGTCAATTATCTCCGGGGATGAGGTGCTGTCCTCGACGTCGATGGGCGATCGCGGTCGTTGTGGCGACGCGCATTGGTGGTGTATGGCTGCTTCTGTGAGAAGTTGGTTGCTCGCCGATTGTTCACAGGTTTTGTGTCTGTCTTGCGATGTTGAGGCACGAAGTTTAAATGACCCTTATTCGCGCCTGTTGGTGGTACGTTTGGCCGCTGAAATCTTGGCTTAGGGGCATTTTTCAATGCTTCACCAGACTGTTGGATGGTTTTACCGGTTTTCAGTTTTTCAGACACGTTTTCTCCGAACAAAAGCTTGTCTCGGCTACTGCGAGTTTTCGTGTCCAAATAGTGACTATCACATAGTATGCGACATGCGTCACTAAGTGGCTTCAAAATCTTCTGCTTTGAAGTTTCGTTAGAAACCACCTTATCTGTTACAGTCGCCAAGGCAGACAATGCAATACCTATCTGTTTTTGCTTATAGAACAGTGACGAATCTCTTTTCACGAGAGGTTCTGGTAAGGCGGCTTTTACTTCCGGGTTGAGAGCAGGAGGTAACAATAGATCACAATTACTGGGCACTAAATAGGTCTTCATAAGTTTTTCCTTCAGGTCCTTATGAAGGCCATTTGCAAGAATGTCTTGCCATCTGTGGGCAATATCTTTATGTACAGGCGGGCCGAATGAAGCTTCCGGCTTAGGAGCGTCACCCAATAATTGAAAAACCTCATCATCAAGTTGCATTTCCTCGGTTGTGTTCTGATTGATATCAGACGTACCTGGTTGCGGATCAATAAGTGGTGTTTGTTGTAGCGATATTTCAAGGTTTTGGGGTCCTGGTGACGGTGGCCGGGACGAGTGACCGTGGTGAATGCAGTACTGGTGACTGCGGCTGTAGTGAACATGGCTGCGCAGTAGGACACGGTGAGAGCTCCCGTTGTGATGATTCCATGAGTTGTTTTGTGCCCAGGTCGGTCTCGCAATAATACGGCAACAATTCCGTATAAGGTGTTTCAGGCGGGGAGTCTGTAATAAATATGATTCTTTTAGAATCATATCTCAAAAAACGTGACAGTAATAGCTCAAGCAAATGTAGCAGTACGCATCACTTTTTTATTTGACAGAGAATTCCCAAGTGCGGAAAGCTCGCATCAATTTTGTAAACACATGAGTTTATATTTAATCTCTTTTCTATCGAGAAAGTGACAGTAACAGCCCAGGTATAGCAGTACGCATCACTTTGTACATGAAAGAGGTAGCCCAGGTATGGCATCCTCGCATCAAGGTCTCGATCGAGATTAACACATTTATTACAATAAAAACTACTTACTGTTAAAGTTTTCTAAAGAAGACTCCGAATTTTGATGTTCACTCGTCGTTTTCGCCAATTTAGCCTCCAATTTTTGAATTTTTCGGCGGATTTCTTCATCGGTTCTTTTTCTTTTCTTTTCCATGTTTGCAGCTCACTATTACTTCTTCGGGCGGACTGACTTTTAATAAATGTTCAGGAGACGTGCGAAAGCTTGAGCACAGAAACACAGAATGATTCAAACACGCCAGCGGACCGTTCAGGAAACTGAGTAGTGGGGGAAAGTGTTGTCTGGTTAAAAATGTTGCCAGCACAAAGCAAACAAAACTACCTTAAAAAAAAACCTCTAAACATCCGTGCAGTGCTGATGCTAGGTAGCACTACTACAATATGTAAATAATAAATCGCAAAGAATGAAGCTGCTATGCATAATACTATACTAAAATTTTACGATGGTACAAAAATAAGCCTTTAGGTATTATACGGCCTTCCCGGTGACTCGGTCACGGCATCCCGGGTCTCATCCCCATGGGAGGGTACACCGTAGGGGTTTTTGTGGGTAGGCCTTCGGGAGCCCACCGCGCGGCTAGCCACAGGGTGGGCTCACGTAGGAGAGTCCCACACACCCCCTGTCGTTTGCCGGGCGGCAGGGGCATTTCCTCGACGTTAAAAAAAATAAATAAAGGTATTATACGGCCTAATGTGAGTTATAACGGTCGTTCAAATTGTTTAGAGTCATTTGTAATAAACGGTGGCTCGACTTCATTATTAGGTAGACAATGGTTAGCGGAACTAAAAATAGTTGTTCCTACTTTTAGTTGCCATAATGTATTGCATCAGGGTAATAAAACATGTGAATTGTAACTTAGCAATGAATAAACAAGTGATTAAATTGCTGGACAGGTATGAAGAATTATTTAACGGCGGACTGGGGCGGTATACGGGGGGCAAGGCGACTTTGAGAGTGCGCGACGGATCTACGCCGGTGTTTCACCGCGCGCGGCCGCTGCCTTACGCGTTGCGGGCACGAGTCGATGCCGAGCTGGACGTCATGCTGCGTGCCGGCGTCATTGAGCCCGTTGACTGCTCCGACTGGGCTTCGCCTCTGGTTCCCATAAATAAACCGGATGGCACACTAAGAATTTATACCCGTCTTTATTGGTCGACCGTTATCCCCTGTCTAGAATAGAATGTTTTAGTAAATTTGAATGGGTATTCTTATTTTAGTAAAATAGATTTATCGCAAGCTTATAATCAGGTGGAACTCGATGATTCTAAAAAGTAAACGGTAATCAATAGTCATCGCGGGTTGTTTCGGTATAACCGATTGGTTTATGGCTTAGCTTCTAGTGTAGGAATTTTTCAAAGAATAATGACTATTTTTTTTTGCTGATATACCTAACGTACAAGTTTTTATTGATGATGTTATTGTGGGTGGGAAATCTGTCCGATAACTTAGAAACATTAGAGGCCGTTTTCCAAAGATTACTGAATAGCGGGTTAAAAATAAAAAAATCTAAATGTGTTTTCTTATCATAAGAAGTTTCATATCTTGGGTATATAGTGTCAAAGGAAGGTATAAAGCCGGACAGACATAAGATAGAAGCGATATCTAAGATGGCAAGACCACAAAATATCTCCGAGTTGAGATCTTTTTTAGGTACCGTTAATTTCTTTGGTAGATTTATCAAAAATCTCAGTTCGATTTTGTCATCGTTATACAAACTTTTAAAAAAAGGGAGTAGAATGGAAATGGGATTTAGATTGCGAGCGATCTTTTATGAAAGTAAAAAAATTACTCGCGGGGTCGAATGTGTTAGCTCATTATGAACTATCTAAGCCGTTGATAGCCACTTGCGACGCGAGCAGCCGTAGCAGTAGTACTTACGCAGCCGGGGCCGTTTCATCAGTATTTGTATGGACGGCGTTTCACGTTGCGTACAGACCATAAGCCGTTAGTATCTATATTCGGTGCCCATACAGGAATACCCACAATGACTGCAAGCATGATGCAACGATGAGCTATTATTTTATCTGCATACGATTATAAAATAGAGTATATTAGTACGAGTAATAAGTGCGCGGACAGTTTGTCGCGACTACCCACGGAGAACATTCCAGTTATTAACGACAATAATGAGGTCATTCCGGAGCAGACGGTTTTACATTTTGCTCAAGAGGCTTTACTTTTAGACTATAATCAAATAAAAAGACAAACAATTAGGGATTCTAATTTAGGAAAAGTTTTGAGTTTCGTAAGAGACGGGTGGCCAGATAATTGAGAAATAAATTCTTTAAAACCTTATTTTAGTAGGAAGTCCGAACTGTAAGAGGAACTGGGATATCTTATGTGGGGACATAGATTAGTAATACCGGAGGGTTGTAGAGAATTGGTTCTAAAAATAATACATGAACCTCACATGGGGGTAGTAAAGTTAAAATCAATAGCGCGCAGTTATGTGTGGTGGCCCGGTATCGATAAAGCGGTGGAGGGCGTGTGCCGTTCGTGCACCATATGTGCCGCCACAAAACGCACACGGCCATGGCCTTGGCCAGGCCGTCCGTGGTCACGGTTACATATAGATTTCATGGGACCGATCACCATGGGATTGAAGTTTTCCAAGTTCCTAGTACAGCCGCGGTATCAACTATCGATAAGTTAAGTGAATTATGGGCTAGATGGGGAATCCCTAAACAAATAGTCAGTGATAATGGGCCACTTTTACTAGTAAAGAGTTTGACCAGTTCATTAGAAAAGATGGTATTGAACATATTTTTACGGCCCCCTACCACCCGTCATCTAATGGAGCTGCTGAAAATGCAGTTAAAATCTTAAAAAATGTTATTGGAAAGGCGCTAATTGAAAAAGCTGACATACAGAAATCATTAAATAATTTTCTTTTTTATTATCGAAACACAGATCATTGTTCGACGGAAGAAAGTCGAGCCGTGTTGTTAATGGGGAGACGTTTACGTACACATTTAGATTTGTTAAAACCGGATAGGGAAAGTAATGTTATAAAAAAGCAACGAAAGCAGGTTGAAATGCCTGTGGCTCTGAAAGGAAGTTTAATGCAGATGAGAACGTTTGGTATCGTCAATTTCTCAAAAGAAAAATGGCGTCAAGGGAGAAAAATGGCTTCCAGGTAATATTAAGCTCTCTCTAGGAAATACAATTATAGAGTAACTGATCAAGGTGGTAACGAAATTCATCGTCATGTCGACCAATTAAGACGTAGGTCTAGGAATTCTTTAGCTTTTCCAATGAATAACCTAGCATCTCGAGAGATATCTATGGAGCAATGAGGTCAGAGGGAACAGTCCGGAGCAGCAGCGGGGACTGAATCGTCCTTATCAATGTTGCCGGGGCATTGTGTAAATGAGGAACGATGAACGGTTCGCTACTTCAGTCAAGGAGGATCACACATCACTTATGGAAGGGGCATCACAATCGTCACCTATAGCAGCTCGTGTACCACCCCAGGCCCGGCAGGTCCGTTTATGCAGGTTAAATAAAAAACCTAATTATAATATAATGTAAGCTTTGTAAGCTATGTAAGTTTTTTAGTAACTTTAATTAATTAAATATGTATGTTAATTAAGTAGGGAGAAATGTAATGTAGGTAACTTAATAATAAATTTGTAACACAAAAGTGAATGTACTGAAGCGCGCATTCCGGAATAAACCGAGCTACGAATAACACGTGTTTCATTTACCACCGGTCACAGTAAGTTCTGGAAGAACAAATTACAAATATTATATTTACAGGAGATAACGAAACTTCTTAAAAGGCGACAAAAGAGTATTGTAATTCGTCATTAGTTGTAAATAAAAAAATATTATCAGTAGAAGTAGAGGGGCGCGGCTCAGGGCAAAACTTCTTCGTTTGTGGCTCCAAATTTATTGCTTGAGTTATTTTGGCACTTATATTTGCTTTGTTTTGGATGGAATCTTCTACATAAGATTCTGCTACTGCGTTAGAACGTCACCCGCCATGCCGCTTTAAAGTCAATATATCAGCTCCCAAATCACCAAGTAATGTAGCTGACGTTCTTCTGAAACTGTGCCTTGTATAACAATCAGCATCCGGCGACTTCCTTTGGCATGGCACCGAATTTATTTATGACAATAGGTTGCGCAGTACATTTACCTTTTTGGTAATTCTGAAAGAAATGATTATTTTTTACCTTAGTCGTACGCAGAGTTTCATATTTTTTGACCACGTCATAAAATGGGCCGTCGATAATAAAAATTCGGGGTATTTTGTTTTTATTGTTTGGGATATTTTAAACTATAAGCATTTTGCTTTGATTTTCAATGTCATTTGTGGTAAAATTGTGAAGCTCTTGCCGTCTACATGCACCATTAATACCAAATATTAACGCAACCTGAAAAGAAAAAATGTGTTAGATAAGGTATAGGTAGGTAGAATTGGCTTACAGACGGTCGTTAAAAAATATGTAAAAGAGTATGTGGAGTACTACACTACAACTAGTAGTGTAGTGATGTACAGTAGGTAGAGCTTTGTAGCCAGTTACTGGCTATCTGGAGCATCTCTTAGAAACTTTTTGACGTCATTTGATGACAGTACCTTAGATTTTTTTCTTTATAAAACCATCAGAGTGTTAAGGAAGACCTTCTTGGTTAAAGGTCTTCCTTATTACTTATAATTTAAATATTGACAATCTGTTCTGCACATGCGCATCTATTGTTTATATTTATGTTACTCTTCGTAAAACTGTTGTCGGTGCTGTTCATATTTTTATAAAGTACTTATATATATATTTTTATTGTGTAAATAAACTCATGTAATCTAAAAGCTCCCTGGTCTTTCTCTATACCCGTTTTACCATCGGGTATCAGGTTATGGGCCCTTAAAGAGAGGCCAGGGATGAAGATATAATAAATTACAAAATGCGGTGTTTATTGTGCTAAAGGAATGGATATGCCAGAGTCCGGATAAGCATAGCAACGAAAGATAAGCATAGCAACGAATGTTTATTCAAAACAAAGTCGGTAATATTTTAATTTATTAGAAAGAGTTTAGTTTTATTAATCATGGAGAATATTAATAAATTGAAAGATCAGAAAAATTATAAAAATTGGAGAAACATTACGAAATTATTTTTGGAATCGAAGGGACT